TAACTTATCGACTTCGGCCGAATAGACTTCGGCAAATTTTTTTAGGGTGTCCCAGAATTTATGAAAACGGCTGTAATGCATCAATAACAATGCAATTACGACTCCTTCGGCGAGAGTAAGGAGTATAATAAATTTTAGCGTTAGCAAGGTCTAAAGCTGTGTTTTTATAAAGAGCTTCGGCTATTGTTTTTCCTACTTCAGAATCAAGTTGATTATAACGAAGATTTAGGGATCTTATAGTAGTGTTCTTATAAAGAGCTGCCGCAAATGCTTTTCCTCCTTCAGAACCAATATGATTGTGACTAATATCTAATAAGGATATAGTAGTATTTTTGCAAAGTACATTTGCTAATACCTTCCCTCCTTCAGAACCAATTTGATTATAAATAAGAATTAATGAAGATATAGTAGTGTTTTTGTGAAGAGCATTTGCTAATGTCTTCACTCCTTCAGAACCAAGTCGATTTCTCTCAAGATTCAAATAAGTTATTGAAGTATTCTTATAAAGAGCTCTCGCGAGTGCCTTGGCTCCTTCAATACCAAGTTGATTTGATGGAAGTGATAAGTGAGTATATGTAGTATTATTATAAATAGCTTCCGCTAATTCTTTTCCACCTTCATTGTTAAGTTGATTGTTTGCAAGAAACAAGCAGGTTAATTTAGTATTATTGCGAAGAAACTCTGCAAACAACTTTCCTCCTTTAGAACTAAGTGGAATATGTTCAATAGTTAAAGAAGTTAAGGTAGTATTTTTGAACAAAGCCAACACTAATTCTCTTTCTAAATCAAATGACGTAAAAGCCCGTGATTTACAGAATGGATACAATGGTGAGCCATCTAAAATTTCTAGTTGTTTAATCTTACTCATTCGTAGAACCATTTTAATTAAGGTAAATCTAATTGCCTGTGCAGCGTGTGTCAATGAAAAACTTTCCATATACGATAAACCATTGTTTATATAACGAGATTCATGAAGCACATCTTTTATTTCATCAATTGTATCCATCTGAATATGTGTAGTATAAGTTAAATATTCAAATAATAATTTTGTATTATTTGGAATGACTATTCCATATGGTTTTAATAGAGCTTTTTCTTCTGCATTTAATGCTGAAAGGCATATCTTTGTAAGTTTTTTGTTTTTAATAATTTTTATCCGACTCCATAATATCGGTATGACAATTCTACACAACTGACGGTTTACTAAAAGACAGGAAAATAAGCTTCTACGATTGTTCTTAAGATTATCTAATATTTCGATGAGACATTCAATTGGTAACTTTAACATTTTATTTCGGAGTTTAAGATTTTTTTTACGTACGTACGTACGTATGAACATCTACTACGTATTTTATATATGTACGTATGTATGACAAAATGTATGTTTATTTTTTGGCAGGATTTAGAAAACTTGTACTACAAGAATTTTCCTACCATATCCGTATTAAATTAAAATATATTGTAGTCGTATTAGAATAACTATGTATGTTGTATGTACGTACGTTAAAATGGAATCTTAGTAGATTTAAAGTCAACTTAATATACACTTGAGATAAAATAAAAGATTAAATTCACTCAAATTGTTAACATTTTCAAACTAGCTTAAAGTAATTCTGAATTTACATAATGCATATTCAATATTTAATTAAAAGCGTTTGGATTCAATTTATAAGAAACAGAAATACATCACAAAACCATTTATGCATATATTCTATTCATATATTCTTGCTAAACTATTATTACAAACGTAATTATTGGGATGACAGCAACTTTCACGAGGAAATTTTTCCTTTTTACATTTGCAGCAATTTATATTACTCATTATTGATGTTTATGAAGCTTTTCACACACTTAGAGTATCCATGTGACAGATATACTCGAGTTCGATTACGAAATTTATTAGTGATGATTGGTTTACCGCAAAAATTTGTTTACTGCAATTGGATTGAAAAAAATTTGTCTTGTACAAATTGTTCAATTCTTTGACGAATATTGTGAAATATTTCTGTACTGTTCACTGCTCAGAAATCTATAAATAATTAAAAAAAAATATACATTGAATTTTTTTTAATTTAGAATTTGAATTTAAATTACATATCAATAGTTTCGAAGAACTTATATGTTCTAAAACACCTTGGTGTAAACTATAGTCAACTCTCTTATTACGACTAGAAAGTTCATTAAGGATTTTTATATGTAAAGATATTTAGGGCTGTGACATTTATTACGTAATATTTTAGAGGGTGGGTATTAATTGTCCTTAATTATACAATATATTATATATAGAATGTAAATTCTCAAAAAAAATTTTCTTTTTCACTTGAAATGCATCATACATTGTAAAATAAGGAATATTATTAGATGTATTTTTTATGTTCTTTTGAAAATAATTAAAGCATGAATTTATATATTTTGTTAATATATATATTCAAATTCTTATTAAAATTTTCAATATTAAAGCAAAAAATTTATATATAATTTGCTTTACTACAATAATTATTTAATTTAATAGTATTATTTATAACTCTAAATAACTTAATATTATATTTAGATTTCTTTGTACATATTCATATACTAAAACTAATCAAGTAAAAAAAAAGGCAGTATCCATAATTCAGTACTGTATTGTATAGAAATAGGGAACTTGATTATAATATCTTTATACAAGAATGATTATCTAATGTAGTAATGATCCAATTACATATATCTAAAATTAGCCCAACAGACATGCAAACACATAAAATTATACATTTTGATCTGTTATCACGACTCTTATAGACTATAAAATAAATACTTTTTTTCTTACCAAAAACTGCTATTGTAAAAAGTCTTTATTTTTCTATTTGTAATTTTTTCTTTTTAAAAAGACTCTCTTAAACTATTTTCTTTTAGAAGTAAAATTTTCATAACACAAATCTTTTTTTTTCACCAAAAATTGTTATTGTAAAAAGTCTTTATTTTCCTGTCATAATTTTTTCTTATAAAAAAAACTCTCATAGACTATTTTCTTTTTGAAGTAAAATTTTATAACAAAATACTTTTTATCTTGCCAAAAAAATTTTAAATATGTTAGCAATATCAGCAGAGTCCATAAATAGTATTCTTTTTGGTATGTTATAGAATTAAAGTTTAATTAATGTTACTTGTGAAAGAATTTTTGAACAGGATTTACAGAACTATCAAAAAGAAATATTTATTTAATATTAGACTATAAATTTGTTAAAAGCCTTTTTAAACTTTTAATAAGCAGCTTTAAGTTTAATTGAATACTTTTGTATATATATTTTATAACCAATTTTTCTGTTATTTAAAGTCTTATCTAACAGAAGATTTTTGTTTTTACATAATAAATGGAAATTAGTTCATTTCATCAAATAATGTATAAAGAACTTCAGTAATATAAATCAAACTAAAACAAATCAAATCTTTTACAATATTCTGGCAATTATTCAGACTCTTTAAAAGAAGTTTGCATTTATGTTCAAAGCTTTTGAAGAAAAGAAAAGTAAATAAATAAGAGAATATGCTTGTGAAATAATGGTTTGACTTTATATGTATGTAATTCTCTTATGGATTTATTTTTTTATAAGTTTTTGATACCAAAAGCTCTGCTGATTTATAGATGAACAAATTCCATACAATCTTTCAAGATGTCACTAATATTGCTATTCTCTCAAAGTGTAGTCATCTTGATAAGACTACTGAAATTTGTCACACCCTTCTGCAGCCATTTATACCTACTCCAAAGCATGCCAAAAATTTGCCGCCACTACTACAATCACCACTCATATGCAAATTATCAGTAGTGGCCAATGAGAAGGCTAAATATTCTGAGTTTCAAGATTTCTTACACATGTGAAATTGAAAGAGAAAGTGATATTGCTATACATACTTAGTGGCAATATCAAATGAAGGATTAAAAACAGTATGTTAGAAGATATGATGCATATGTCACTAGACCTTTTGATAGCATGCATCCTTGAAAGTTTCAAAAAACATCTCAGCAAAGACCTACTAATCAGAATATGATCAACAAAAGGGTATGAATGGCTTGATTTTCTTTGTTAGATTAAAGATGCTCTTCTCATTAAAGAGAAAGAAAAAGCAGATATAGACCAGTTGGATGTTACTATGAGTAAACTTGTCAGAAAATCTGGTGACATTAAGTTTATAATCAGCTATGCAGCAGCAGGTCCACTAGTGCAATTTTATGCCATAGATGAGTCATCGAAGAGGCTAATCCTACTATCAGATTAACTCAATATAAATCGAGTCAGAATTGAATTAGCTATTAACATTGGAAGAGTGATAATAACTATAAAAGATTTTATTCCTAATGGTTTTCCAGATAAAAGAGAAAATAATAGTTTAGGGAAGAATTTTAATGTCATGATTATAGATGGGTAAAATTATAATATTTCAACAATATAGAAATTAATTCATATATAATGTACCTATAGTGTTTATGATTTTAATAAGTTTTTTTGCTAAAATTTAGGGTTAGTGTGCAGTTATTAAGTAAGGTAGGAGTTATATAAAATATTTAAATTTTAGTTAGCATAAGGTTTTGGGAGGTTTGAGTATTTTTACTTAGTGTTTCAAACCTTATTTATTTAGTAAGTTTTTGAGATATAGTATATATAGTTAGTCTAATTACAAATATAGTATAGAGGTCTGATCCATTGAATAATTATTTGGATATTCAATAAATCATTATTTTAATCAATATTCATCATACTCATGTGTTAAATAATACTAACTAAAGAAGTATGTACATACATTGAATATCATCAAATATTATCAAATATATCTAATATTTACTCTGATTTTTTATTGGTTATTCTAGTGTTCCGAAGTTCAAGTCCGGTTCAATTAGGTTTGGGTTCAAGTTCAATTAAACTTGAACCGAACCTTAAATTTTGCAAATTTTTGAACTTGAACCTGAACCGGACTTGAAATTTTTGAACTTTAACTGAACTTGAACCTAGAATGTTGGTTCAAGTCCAAATTTGGTTCAAAGTTCATGAACATGTTCAGGTTCAATTAATAATAAAAAAAATACTACCTGAATAAATTTCTGTATTTAAACATCCCATATTATTTCACTGATAATCACTTCATAGTGTAACTATTGTAAGGAAGAGTTTGCTATTGTCATGCTGAGTTTAGCTCCAATAGTTGATATTAGAAGGATCATATGAAATGAGGGATAAATTATGTTATTTGGATATTCATTATTCCTGAAACACCTATAAAAAAATTAGCTGAAAAATTTTTTGGCCGGTAATTTTTTCAGTATAATAAATTTAATAAAAATTGATACAGTACTGTAATATATACTTTAAAATCAGGTGGCTAATATAAATAAAAAATTATGCACATTTATTCAAAAAATATGATGTTTCCAAACTACATTTGCTAGTAAATTATTGAAAAAATTTTAGAAGGCCTATCAACTTAAAAATTTCAAAACACTTAGGTGTTAGCAGGTCTCCTATAAGTCAGGTTCTTGTGCATTTTCAAAGATATAGTTGTATTGAAAAACTTTCATCACTTTTGGGAATACCACATTCTTAAATATGAATGATATAAATTATCTTTAAGTTTTAAGTTTTAATAAAAGAAAAACCTCAATCCGAGATGGAACTTTGGTTGGGATGTAACAACTTGGATTTACACACAAAAAGATACTATTTCATATATTTATACATATTTTTATTTTATAAACCTTTAACAAATTTAATTTTATAGATTTCAAAACTTGCAAAAATAAAGAAATAAAGTTGATAGAAACAATTCATTTTAC